AAAAAGATGGAAACCTTGAATTTAAACTAGTAACCTGCAGGTATATAAATCATCATGCCTCAAGTGAAAAATTCTTAATATCATATGTCCACAACTCAGATAAAAACATTGTAGGCGAGGACTGATAGAAAACACTGGATATTTTGGAATTCTAATCTCTGTAAGCCGTTGTACACTAAAACTGTTAATAAGAGAAGCCTGTAGCAACACCTTTTATGATCACTACCACACCAAGAGGAGTAACTCAGGATTCTCCAGAGTAAGGCACATTGGGACTAAATATGAACCCCTCTCCTCACAAAAATGGAAGCTAAGTCTTTCAAGTTTGATACTGTTCTGAGACCACCACTGGTGAAAGAGCCAAAGTCAGTCTTGGAAGCTGTCACCATAAGCCAGATAGAAGGCACTGGGGCTGGGAAAGAAGAGCTGAAGAGACATGAAGGAGAGTGCACGAGCCAGGCTTTGACTTCATAATGGCTTGAGTTTCCATCTTGACTTTTTTAAAAGTTTATTTATTGAGGGGCCAGTGGATGTCATAGTGGTTATGTCAGCAGACTTTCACATGGTCAACTGCGATTCGAGTCCCAGACCCAGTGACTTAAAACTCATGGCACACATGACAATAATCCTGAGAGGAGAGTGGAGAAGAAGGGCCTGTGGTGTGGCCACAGGCCCTTCTTTGGGGGGCGATTTCTCACTTTCTCTCTCTCCATCTCTCTCTGGCTCTCTGGTGAGCACACACGCCCTATAGCAAAAATTAATTAAAAAAATAAAAAACACAGGAGTAGGAAGGACTTAGGGGGAAAGAATGAAGGAAAGGCAGGGAAGGAAAGATAAATGAAACATTATAGGAAATAGGAAAAAAAAAAAAAAAAAAACTTAAGAGCCAGCAAAGGGAGCTAAAGTAAGAAAGTACAGTCAACAGTGTCAATAAGATCAAACACCAGGAACCAGCAGTTAGCGTAATGGCTATGTCGCTGGACTTCCACGTAGTCGACCGCGGTTTGCGTCCCAGACCTGGTGGCTTAAAACTCACGCCGGGCGCGTGTGCATGCGTTCCCAAGATCCCGAGAGGAGAATGGAGGAGAAGGGATTGCAGCGTGACCATCCCCCCTGGGGGGGTGATTTCTCACTTTCTGTCTCTATGTCTCTCTGTCTGTCTGGCGAGTGCACACACCCTTATAGTGAAAACCTTTCCAAAAAAGAAAAAAAAAAGATCAAACACCAAGAGATGACTTGGATTTAACGATCTTTTTTTTTTTTTTTTTGAGAGATTTTCACTGTAGGGCGCGTGCACTCGCCAGACAGACAGAGAGAGACATAGAGACAGAAAGCGAGAAATCACCCCCCAGGGGGGATGGTCACGCCGCAATCCCTTCTCCTCCATTCTCCTCTTGGGATCTTGGGCACGCACGCACACGCACCTGGCGTGAGTTTTTAGCCACCGGGTCCGGGATGTGAACCGCGGACGACTACGTGGGAGTCCAGCGACATAGCCATTACGCTAACTGCTGGTTCCCGGTTTTAACGATCTTGAAGTTAGGGAAATTGTAGAAGCAGATTAGGACGAAATTATGAGGTGCCAGCAAATGGTGTAGCGGTTACATTGATGGACTCCCACATGGCCAACTATGGTTCAAGTCCCAGACACGGTGGCTTGAAGAGCACACCAGGCACATATGCATGCATGCCCAAGATTCCAGGAGAATGGAGAAGGGATTATGGCATGACCATCTTCCCTAGGGAGTGATTATCTCTCTGTTTCTCCCCCCCCGCAACAAACGCACACACCCTAAGGCAAAAACCTCTTTAAAAAAATTAATTAAAAAGAAAAAAGAACGAGGGACCAGCGTTTAGCATAATGGCTATGTAGCTGGACTCCCATGTAGTTGACCACGGTTCAAGTCCCGGACCCAGTGGCTTAAACTCACTCCGGGCGCGTGTGTGTGCGTGTGTGCGTGTGTGTGTGTGTGTGTGCGCCCAAGATCCCAAGGGGAGAATGGAGGAGAAGGGATTGCAGCATGACCATCTTCCCTAGGGGGTGATTATCTCTCTGTTTCTCCCCCCCCGCAACAAACGCACACACCCTAAGGCAAAAACCTCTTTAAAAAAAAAAAAAAGACGATATAAGGAGTAAATCCAGTAGTAGTGGGTTGTCAGAAAAGTTATGATGCTTGGAACCAGCAGATGGCATAATGGTTATGTTGCTGAATTTTCACATGGCTGACTGTGGTTTCAGTCTCAGGCCTGATGGGTTGAAACTCATGCTGGGCATTTGTGCATGTGTGCTCAAAGTCCCAAAAATGGAAGAGAAGGGATTGCAGTGTAGCCATCCCCCCGAGGGGTGATTTCTCGCTTTCTATCTCTCTGTCTCTTCATCAAGCACACATACTCTATAGCAAAAAAAAAATTTTTTTTTGGAGAGGTTTTTGCTATAGGGCGCATACACTCGCCAGAAAGACAGAGAGAGACAGAGAGCTAGAAAGCGAGAAATCACCCCCCAGGGGGGATGGCCACGCTGCAATCTCTTCTTCTCCATTCTCCTCTCAGGATCTTGG